TAAGGTCACTGGTATGCACATGTCCTCATCTATGTGTCTGTACCTTTGACATCTTGCACTTGGTGTCAGTGATAAGGAAGGACATGTTGTTAATTTCATTCTGGACCACAAAGTTCTGCTCTTCTCTCTTGAAGTTCTGGAGACAGAAAACAGGACTTTCTTCAATTAAAGCACAGTTGTATTATGCGTCTTTGAAAATAAGGCAACTGGACAATATTTTTGGTTTGTAAAGACATTTTACTTCTCATTAAGAGGCTTCTTCAGTTCTAAAACAGCTGAGGAGAGTCCAGGTATTTGATACCTATTGGCATTGTGGTCCTGGGGTCAGTGACCCACTGTTAACCATGTGAGTCACCTTGAGTCAAGGTATGAAAGAATTCATGGGTGTGAATACTGTGAGATTATTATGCTATCATATGTTATCCTATGGCTGTAATCGAAATGAGTGAATCATGATACTGCTGTAAGCCACACCAGACTTCTTACTATAGAGAGTATAATCAGTAGTTTTAGTTTGCATTATACTTCTGAATTAAAAGGATGTGAAAATCATTAGATTTATTAGATAGGTTTGTATTATTTTTTAAGCAGAAAAACAGGGAGCCAAGATCATAACTCAGGCTCACTGAGAGTTAGAAAGTATGTATGTTTAGGTTTTTACGACTAGGTGGGGGCCACCAGAGGCTATAAGAGTTTGAGTAACGCTCCACCCTTTTGAGATTTTGCTGTGACCCTCTTCATGCATGTCTCCCCATCCCCTCCCCGGTACCGGTCCGAGGCCCGGGGGTTGGGGACCGCTGAACTAGTGAGTTGATTCAGGTGTGTTGGCCCAGGTCCCCAAACCTGCCCTATGGGATGGATGTTGCAGTAATTTTCTTACGTGAGACTTGGCCCAGAAGATAAAAACCTCAGCCACCATTCGGAACAGCTCCTCTGCCTCTGGATTGGACTCTTTAAGCCATCTGGCCCTGTCAGTATATCAAAACAGTGACACGCTGAAACCAATCATTCTTTTTCCAAAACTGCAGCTTCGTCTTAGTGACGAAGCTTCTGTATCAGATGGTCTAAATTCACTCCAGTCAATGAGCTGAAGGTCACTTGTTCAGTCACAACACTGTACCTGTTGTAGTCAACGAATCGTATGAGGAGAGGGTAGAAGGCATACAGGTCTCTGACCAGGACAGTAAATTGGTCCATGATGAGGAGCTCTGTCTCTGACATCTCACCCCTCCCCTCTGCCTTGCTATGTTCTTCATCCATCAGCACAACAGCTGCTTTCTAAAGAATACAGTAATAGATTTTTCTACATTAAGCAGCACTGTGTGTTTTAATCTTTGTGACTATTTTATTCAGTAGTAGGAGTGTTCGCATAGTTCTTCATTTTAAAAACATACTAATAGATATTTAGTTAAGAAATATATATAGGTAATTCAATTTCATTTAAAAAAATCAAAAGAAAATTACAAGAAAGTGTTAGAAAAGACAACAAGCAGTGAATGTGACCTAGTTTTATATTCTGTTAGATGAGTTGCACCGCTTCCAGGCTGTATATTATAATAAAGGTGAGACTTACTTTTTTGAGTTTCTCCATCAAGGGCAAGAAGTGGGTCTTTAACAGCTGAGGTTTGGCTTTGCTGATGATTGGCTGGGAGAAGACTTGGGGACATGAACAGAGATGGTGTTAAAACGCAAAATGTGAATGTATGAACATTTGAATATCATATGATGATTAGCAGCAGGCAAAAAGAATTAAACTAACATCAGTTTGAGGATGCTTATGTAAACTGATCCTGAGGAGAGCTTTTATTTATTAACTTGCAGAAACGTGCAGAAAAAAGAAAATGAAACACCCTCTTGCGTGAAATGTAACTTTTGTCTTCCATTGTGTCCTCCTCTTAACACAATTACAAGAACTGCTGTTACTGACTATATTTTCTTTTTCAAAGAGGAAGCCTAAATTGCAAAACACTTAAGGGGCTCATTAAGCTCATTACACAAATTTTCTTCTTTTAAGATAATTGTTTCCTCCAGTGCTGTAGTGTTTTATCAAACAATTAAATGGCAATCCCCAGCGTTTGGAGCACCCTCTAATGAGGTGTGTGCATTGGTTTAAAAATGTGAAAAAAAACAAACAAACAAAAACATACTGCCTGCACACCTAAAACAATGAAACAATGAACACTTCGCCAAACCTAAGTAACCCGCCTCTACAAACCAGATTTCATGTCTCATGTCATATTGTTTTATTTTTGCCTTGTGCATCACTGTGAGCTGCAAATATTATGCTCCATTAGCAAATAAACTATCCATCCACCATCCATCCAGGGAAACACAAGGCGTTCCCAGACCAGCCAAGAGATAAACTCTCTTCACCATGTCCTGGTTCTGCCCCGGGGCCTCCTCTCAGTGGGACATGCCCCGAATACCTCACCAAAGAGGTACCCATCCTTGTCAGATGCACAACCACCTCAACTGTCTCCTTTTGATGTGGAGAAATAGCGGCTCTACTCTGAGCCGCTCCCAAAAGCCTGAATTCCTCTCTAAGGGAGATGCAAGCCACCGATCGCAATCTCGTTCCTTCTAAAATCAAGAGCTTCGCTTTTACGTTTAGCTCTCTTTCTACCACGGTGGACCAATACAGCATCCACATCCCTGCAGCTGCAGCACAAGTTTCACTGTGATGTTTCATTCTCTTTGCAGAGCTTTAAACTATATCACTCCCCTGAATGAAAAGAAAAGAAAAACAAAAGAAGAGCTACTAGTTTTAGGTTTATGTTGCAGTCACTAGTCAGTTTTAACTCCAACATACACTAAATTGCCAAAAGTATTCAATCTTCCCTCCAAGTCATTGAATTCAGGTGTATACCAATCAAGCAGCTAGGCATGCAGACTGCTTCTACAAACACTGGGTCGATCTTAGGAGTTACTGTGATATTGTTCAACAAGTCCACTCGTGAAATTCTCTCTCTTCAACTCTACCACAAAGTGGCTGGACATATAAAGTCACAGTATCAGTCAATCGCTACAGACCTCTAGTCTTCATGTTCAAGAACATTAAGAGCTTCATGGAATAGTTTCCATGGCAGCATCTGCATCCCAGTCTTACATCACCAAGCACAATGCAAAGTGTCAGA